ACACACACACACACACACACACACACCATTCAAAAGTATACACACAATAATTGCGTGTATTAGCTTACTTGAATAAGAACGTTTTGTCCGTACTTTTGCACACAGGCAGCCATAAATTCGTCGATTAATTCATCATATTCAGCACCTTGACTTCTAGGCTTGTTGAGACCGATATAGTGAGGATCGTTTCTCAGCTGTTCATTATTAGTGCCTACATCAATGGTAATCGGAAGACACTGATGTGGTTTGATACCAGCCAGAGCTGTGTAAAGCGCCAGTTTTCCAACGGGGATACCCATCCCACAAGCTCCGAGATCACCGAGACCTAAAATTCGCTCACCGTCCGTTACACAAATGGCTCGTACTGTTTGTTCTGGCCTAAAAATATGACAGAAATTATCATAGGTGATAGACATTTCAAAATAAATTAATGCGCTATGCTATGTTAAATAATAAATTTTCTTTTCTTGCTTCATACAGTGAAACATACGATGTATATGATGCGTAAAATCCTATTTTTAGCAAATGAACGTACCGCTTAAACTCTAATCTAAAGTGTTCCTAACAAACTGTTCTTCTCTAATAATAAGAATTTCTTAGTTAATCATTATGTTTTATTAAAAAGTTGGTAAAAAAAAATAGATTGAAATGTAACATTCGTTTTTCTTTTTTTTTTACAAGATATGATACGGTAATTTGTGTCAGCATCCGGAAATAAATTAAAATGAATTGAAAATTTCTAATCCATTTTAATTCATTTTAATACATTTTGGAAGAATAAGAAGCACTTCGTGCTTCAATTCCGTTTCATGGATAAAATGGATTGCATGACAGAATTTTCTTTGGGTTGGAAAGAATAGGTATTCCATAGTTTCAATATAGCATAGAAATCTCGTAGTTTCAATCTCACTTCCCACATGAATTAAAATAAATTCAAAGAATTCTTCGACTTTAATTATTGAAATGGACTCAAAAAATCAAGAATTAGGATTCGACAATAACCACACAAATCCATTTCTATTCATTTCAATCCACTTCCTGAATTTGCTAAGTATCTTTTTTATTTACTAACCAATTATTCAAAATCTCATAAATATGACCTTTATCATATATAGTAATGAAAAGTCCACGAGGTCTACGATATATCACGCCAAACTTTTGACAGGCCAGACCAACAGTAGGTGTATAGACAATCGGCATCATCTGTTCAATGTTTTCGCTTAACAAACGAAAAAATAATCTTTCGTTTCTCTCCTAAAAATTGTTTCCAATTAAAGATAAATTTTTTTATGACGATAGCGCGAAATATATTATTACCTGAAGTTCCACAAGATATAAGTATCGATTCAAATCTTCAGAGTATTTCATTACTGAGGCTTTGCATAGAGCCAGCTGCTCCTCTTGCGTCTTAAATCTGGGAGGTTGTAGCCCATGTATTCCAAGGGATAATCTTTCTTTCAGAGTGAACGCCAAACCCTGTTATTATTACGCAATATTGATGAAGAGTGTACATCTCTTAAAGAAATATTTAAATAAACGAAATGATGGGAATAACAATACCTTATTAAGTCGAGGATCTCTGAGATGACCGATACCCTTTACCATATTGATCGGTATCACATCTCCTGAAACTTCGTGAATGTTCCTTTGTTGGATGTCCTTTATGGCAATATGCAAAGGTGGAAGTGTCCATGTCCATGATCCTCCGCAACTTCTGCTACTAGCCGATCTAAAAATATGCATCAAAAATTTGCATGACAATGTGTGACTCTATCAAATTATCAATATCAGTACTATCTCACGAAAAAAATAGATTAAGGAAGTTTTATTTTATTACCAATAAAAACTATGGCTGACGCCTGCTATGCGACGTTAAAAGTGTGACCGACTAATTATTACAGTTAACAACTCGATGAGTCATTCAGTAAAAAATTAACAGGTTTATAAGCGTGAGAATATAAATAATTTTTTATAAATTTTTATACTTTTATTCCTCATATTTTCGAATGCTTGTTAAATAATGATGAGTAAACAAGTTGATTCAATTTAGGAAATGGTATGGAATGTCTGCTCATCAGAAATAACAGATAAGTTGCCATTATCAACTGATGAACTGCATGTACGGTTTAGCTAATTTAGAAACAAAAAAACAGATTTCATACGTGCTGATAAACATTATGCGAATGTTTAATTCATGAACTGTTTAAAATAAAATTAATTCAGTATAGATATAAATATTATTATGTATGAAATACATATACTTAATAAAAATTATAGAAAAATAGTTTCTCAGTTATTTATTGTGATAATAGAATTGAATAGAACGTGATAATAGAACGTGATAATAGAACTGAACGACTTGTATCAATTAATTGTAAGAAGACGGAACTTACGTAACGTTAATAAAAAAATATAAATATGTGATAAATATGGAATAAAGTATAAAAAATACTAATGTAATTTTATTAACAAAATATATTATCATAAAAAGTACATCATATAACATAATAATTTTTTCAGAAAAATATTTGTTTTAAACTAAAAAAAATATAATTATCATAAATTAATATGACATGTCTGAATATACTTTAAAATTCTCTAAGATAATATTGAAAATCTATAGCACATGTAACAAAAATTAGAGATTTTTAGTCATATATTATAATATAGTATATTTTTATGTACTATGTTATACTATATTATATTGTTATTACATTATATTATAATCTTTTTATTATTTTCATCATTATGTCTAATGTACAATTAATACAACTAATGAAATAATATTAACATTCATTAGATCAATTATAAGATACATTAATTTTTTATAATTATAATAAATAATTATAGAAAATATATCTTAGTTCAATTAATAATTTCTATATTTTTTCTACGGCTAAAAATACTAAATTACATCATTGTATTCCATTATTGTAATTATATTCTAATAGTTTTTATTCTTATGTCTTAAACTAATAAATATCCAAATTTCAGTTATAATTGCTGGACTACTTTGTTGTTTTTTTATGTGCGTTCTCTTGATAATTAGGATAAGATAATCATGTGAGTTTCGATTTTGTTTTTATTGAAAAATAATATTAAATGTAAATAAATATAAGGATTAAATTCGAGTTTAACATAGTAATCTTATACAATGATTTTCTCTTTATTACTCATAATAAATCTGACTGTATATATGATACATAATAGATAGAGATAACGATTAGATAAGAATTCATGGAATATCAGAATAAAACTTTTCAGTTTGCCATTCAATGCATCAGATCATATATAGAATTATGATAGATACAGTGCGATCGATGAAGTTGAAGTAGAACATACATGTTAGCATACGTCAGAGTCCTCTCTCTCCCTTTCTGAAGTTCTCAAGAATACAAAATTAAATAGAATGAAACGTACCCGAGTGAAACAATTTTTACTTTCTCACACATTTTTTAAAATGTATGACAAAATAATTTTTCTTTAAAATCTTAAAATGTTACAAAACACGCAATAATCTCATACACGCAGAATAATTTGTCATTGACGGTTATTTTCCCAAGTCGCGCTTAAACAACCAAAGCTATTATTATTTCCGTGGCGTAAAGCCAGCTTTGAAGAAATGACCATGCAAAAGTGGCCTGCGGATACGCGTTTTTTTCAGCCATAATTCAAAATATGGCAATCATATTAGCACGCCGCATTTAACATCAATGTGGTCATCACTTAAATTGTGATGTTCTTTCTCAACAAAGACACGTTGTTTTCAATTAAAGCAATGTATTTGTAATAAACGTTTGCGTTTTTTTGATTTAGATATGCATTTACGAAAAGTATGCTCTAATGAAAATATATCTACTAATGTTAAAAATCATAACAGCAAAAATTTGTTTTTCTGACGTATATTTGCAAATATGACAAAAGTATAATGATGCGAAACAGATTATATTCAATATGCATTGGAGCCATTACTTTTGAAATGTTTGATATTGTCACTGATGAGGAAGAGACAATTTATTATATTATCACAGCTTGACAATTCTCTCTCAAACAATTTAGTTAGTAAAATAAGTTTGTATTACATTTCTTTTTATCTTCCTTGATATTAGTCAATCGGTTTTAAATTACTTTTTCAAATATGATATAAACAAGATTTTTCATAATGCAAATAAGAAGATAATATAAAATAATATAAAATATATTATTACGTTAAAAAGAACAAAAATAATTTACAAAACGTTATTAAACGTTTTTTTATGTAGCATTATTTTTTCAATATTTTGTAAAATTTGTATAAAATATGATAAGTGATAATGTATGAAATGTAATTAAAATATAAATATTTTATATAGAGAAAAATAATTTTTTAATTGATTTAAATAAATAAAAAATTGGCTTTTATTAATTTTTCTATTTAAATATATTTGAAATATTTTTAAATTTAAATTTTTTATTAATTGAGCGAAGATTTTATTATTAATTTTATATTTGCTTTACATTGTTTGATCTCCTTATAGAATGCGAAAAAAGGAAAAAAAAAAGATTTTGAATAAAGCCCATCTGCTCTCGGTGACTCTGCATATTGTCAATGAGTAGTTTCAACCTATTAAACATAACAAGACTTGCATAACCCTCTCTTTCTCTTTTCCCCCCTACCTTTTCCCTCACCATTACAATTTCTCTTTATTATCTATCTCTTTAATATCATTAAACAAGCAAAACAATGTCCTGTTTCGTATATGATGCCGATGCATGCATAATGTTGCATACATAAAAACATTTATTAATTGTAAACTGATGAAAAATATAAATAAAATAAAATAAATCGACTTGATTTATATTCGTATGCGGAATAGTTCAGTCTGAATTATAATTGTGCGATTCTTTTCGCTGATTTAATGAATATTATAATATATTCGAATATTATAATATATTCAAATTAATCATAATGACGTAAGACGAGGTCTCAAAACCTGAGGTAACCAAAGTTTTTGCGATAGTTTGCGTTGAAATACAGCTGTTACTATGTATTCTGACCTTTACTATAACCCCGATCGATCGCAATTGGACTCTTTATATTGACTGGCGTGACACGAGCGTTGTCCTAATGAGATTCGTCCTGCTACTCCTGTTTCGGCATTGAATTTATTAGAGTATATTAAACATTGCCAATTACAATTAACCGTTTTAATCAACGAGCTTCCAATTAGGAAAACCTCCACGTCTATCATGAAAATTATCTATAACTACTCCGCGAAGCATGCATATTTGATTGGTACTATATTATATTACTTACGAAATGAGAGGGTATGCGCACATATCACCAAATTGTCGTATTACCAAGAAGCGATATTCGATCAATTTACTCAAATAATCAATTAAACGCATCGCATGAATGGATAAAGCACACGTTGGGTATCATAAATTGGATCGGACAAAACGCGCGATGTAACACGCTGATAAATAATTGGACACATTTATCAGATATTTGCTTTATCGTAAACAAGACGCGTCGCAATCATGCTCATATTGCTTTCCTATTATCGATTATTTGCAAACCACCTGCAGATAATTTCAATAACATCAGTAACAAAAGACGATCAGTAATGAGAAAAAATTTGACGACGCGCCGAATAAGAAAATCATTTTAAAATTATCTTTCTACTTGGAGAGTATTAATACAGGATATTAATTTTAACTGCTAGACAAAAGAAATCGTACAAACATCGAGGTCTACTAAAATTTTAATAAAAGAATGAAATAAATGTACAGAATAAATCAATAATACTTCCATATATATATAATCTACGTTGACATAATTTAAATATTATTAATTCTAATTATAATTAAATCTTTGAAGATGATCAATGTAACTTGTATATGTTTTCGAAAAACAATTACATCTCTCAAACTATCCTTTATATAATGTATAAATTATATTACTTAATATTTTTATCTCTTATTTTGATTCTTGAAATATATCGATATATCGGAGAATACCATTTACCTAAAACACTTGACAGAAATTTATATATTAAATTATAATTTGATAAAACTTTTTGTATTTATATTTTGTCTTTCTACTTTTAATTTGTTCTGTATTTATCATATTTACATATTTGTTCTTATTATACATATTTTTCGTCTAGATCGAAAAATTATTTTACTAAATTGATTAGCTTCGCGAGGGCTATTAAAAATAAAAATTTTTTGCGATTTTTGCATATATAATTGATTTTTAAAAATAAAAATTATTGTTAAAAATTTTGAGTTTAATGCATTTTTTCGTTCAGCGCGCTCGGACTCATTGTAACTATACGTCCCTGGTACAACAGTTTCCGGAGTTCCGGACGAAGGCTGTTTTTACTTTAACTTTGAATCACGAGATTATTCATAATTCGTTATTTCCGCTAATTTTTATTTCGCGATAAAATTAACAACACGATTATTACACGAAGTAATGCTGCTTTACGTTTAATTTAATTCAGAAAATGTGGCAAAAATATAGAGAAATATGTGACATCACAGACAAGGAAAATTCAGTTCCGAATATTAACATCCCTTCTTGATGATATTATTTTCAAATGGGAGACAAAAAACGATTAGAGGAAAGGAAATGATCAAAAGAAGAATCATAATAAGAGTCACTTTAAATATTTATAGCCAAAATTAATAATCGATAAAATAAATTGAGATTTATCAATAGAGAGTTCTTTTTATTCTACGGATTTCTACAAGTTTTGATACTAATATTTAATAAAACGCATCATTTCTCAATAAGATCAATATCAACCCTGTTCAAGATAAAGATTAGGTAGATAAAAGAACAGATTATTTCGCATTATAAACTTCCGTAGAATGTGGAGTTATTTTTTAGAGCACAATGAATATCGCAAACTCTTGTCGAGTCTGCGAGCAACAAGCACCGTTTACGCGAAAAAAAGGCGTTCTAGTTTCGACAATGGTCAAAGTCACGGCTGAGTTAGGTGAAGGCTAAAGATAACGTGAAAGAGAATAAGAAAATGAGATGCCAACGGCGAGAACACCTGAACAAGAACAAGAATGTGATGCGATCTTCGCAAGCCTGGCAAACCTGGCTGCGTCTGGCATCGATCGTTGGTTGACGCTCCTATTTTCAGCACCGCATTGCGACCTGTCTGTTTTCGCGAGTCAAGTTACATGACGGATCCTTTTTCCCTCGAGAACGATCGCATTCTCCCTGACGAAGGATCACATCGTCGATGTCATCTGCCAACAATCCGTCGCGACATTGGCCCGTAGTACTGACGAATCGCGGATCCTCCGATTATCTGAGATACCAACGAAGTCGAGGAGGTCGAGAGTAAAAAATTTTTCCTGGTACTCACAATATAGACCTCTGCAGGACGAACATCTCGATCTCCTCGTGTGCACGCAGCTGATCGCACCTCCCACCCGACAGGATTGGCACGCGACTGCGCGGTCTTGGAGGCTCGGAGGTGCTGACCGCGCCGTATGTATTGTATCGTGTGTCGCGCTGCGTCGCATCGCGCTCGCGTCGCGCCCTCGTCAGTTCACGTTCACGTTTCGCCAACATAGGCGCATCAAAAGGTGCAAGGTTAGACGTTTAAGCTTAAAATATAATTAGTTTACATCTATCGCGTATACAATGTAAATTATGTCCCAGGTAGCACAGAAAATTAAAAAATAATTTATTTTGAATTTCCAAATTATGAAATGTATTTCTTCCTCCATCCCGTTTCTGATCTAAAAACATTCATAAAAGTTCCATGGATTTCATTTTTAGGTCACCAATTTTGAAGCTCTTTTTCAGATACAAAAGAAAATCACATTATAATCTGTAAGAATTCGCAATCAAAATAGTTTTTATATAGTATATCTAACACCCAAGTATGTTTCAGAAATAGGATATTAGAAAATAGGAAAAGGAAATATTAAATTAATTGTTACACAAAATTAAACGAGATTAAAAATACTTTATTTTATTCTCAAAATACTTTATTTTATCTCGGAAATCAATTTTATTACGTGAGTGTATTTGCAGGACATCACCAGAGATGCCAGAATAACATTGCGGAGTATTATTTTATTATTGTTTTACTGGAATACAGTTAAAAAATCTCATCACGTGGTGCCTTTTATTCTATCTTGTGTGCCTTGGTTTTTAGTTACGAGAAATGGAATTTCATCGCATCCATCTATTGACGATGCCGCGTACTACTCGCGAGTGAGCGATTTTTTTCGAACTCATTACGAATAAAACAAGGACTTCCAAAGAAGGAAAATGTAATTTCTATTTAACTCCACAGAAGTCAAAATGTATACTTTTAGAATACATAGATAGAATCCTTTTTGAATTACTAGGAAAAAATTTTTTTAGTTCATAACGATCATATGTGGTGTTTGAGATGTCATTTATGTAAATGTAAATAATGAATAATCTCAGATAGCACAAAGGTTGGGGGAAGTTTATAAAGGGAAAGAAGTTTATAAAGAATCAGAATCAATTTTTCTTTAGGTATTCTTCAATTCATTATAATGAATACTTCGCAACTACTTTGAATATTCTGAAAATTCATGAAGAAATATAAAAGTTTTATTTGTTATAATTATTTCTTGACTATATTCAACAGATTCTATTGCGAAATATTGACTGATATGTTAATGTTATAGTGATAGTTAAAATAGTGTTAATATAATGTTATGTTGAATATAGTCAAGAAATAATTATAATATAATATAATATAATAATAAATTATAACAAACCATTAAATAGAAATAACTTTTATTTAATTTATTATTGTTCATAGTTATTTCTATTTAATGGCATTAATGATATTAATTTATATAATATTAATACAAATAAAAAATAAAATAATAAAATAGAATAAGAAGTAAAAGAGAAATAGGAGTTAATAATAAATAATAGCTAACTTCTCATAATATTATTAAATAGTATTAATATATTTATATGATAATATGTAAATATGTATGTTGCCTTATTAAAAGGGATATAATTCGACTTTAACTTTGAGTTGCTATATCGTAAATCCATTAAAAATAACGTAGTTCACGATATAAGCGAATTAGGAGATTTTAATCGACATCAAAAATTTGATTATCAAGTTGTTGTAGAACTGCTACGTTGTAAATTCACTAAAAGTGGCACGTGGTTGGTGATATATTCATTTATTTATGAATTTATTTATGAATTTATATAAAGGAGATTCTTACGAGCGAATTCCGACAAAAACGTTCACACACATGCAAACATACATAAATACATTTATGTATACATATATACATACACTCATACATAAGTCAAACAGTAGGCCACCCAAGGTCAAACTGATAAGATCAGTAATTAGATCTTTTGAAACCCTACAACTTTTATCTTTGATAGAAACACTTTTTCTTAAAATGCTTAGTTTTCGAGATATTCCGCCGTCCTGGTACTTTTTATACATCCTGTATAATAATAATATGTAATGCTACAATATCTAATATAATATAATATAATATAATAAATAAAACGAATACTAATAAATTAGGTTGTGTTCCATTTGGCACACTTATATATGACTATAAACATCAATTTATTTTTATTACTTATTTTATACTAAGGAAAGACAGAATAACGCTTACAACGCGTGAGCATCCAAAACGAATGCATTTCTTAAAACAAAATACAAGTCGGAGGTCTATAATTCGAGGGATCAAAAAGATAAAACATTGAGTCACGTATGGTCAAAGAAAGAAAGGTGAAAATTATCAAGAGTATAAATTATGTCTAAAAATCATAATATAAAATTAAATGTAAAAAGAAAATAATGTGCTTTAAAACATGTGTTTATTTGTGTACTAACAAAATTATCTTTTAAAAAATAACGCCAAGTTCACGCGCCCCTTTTCTAATTTATGTAAAAGAAAGAATTTTATACAAAAATTTCCATCTACAAAAGTTTTTTTAATAATAAATTTTATATTGATAACACAAAAGATGTGATATGAAGAACTGGCGCCAACTTCTAATTTAATAAAAATAAAATTCTGATTTAATTTAATAAAATAAAAAGAACTTTACATTAAAATACATTTTATTTTGTAGTTCATTTTTATTTGAAAAGTCGTTTTATTATTTCTACAAAAAACATGATATTAAAAATTGGCACAAACTTTTAATTATATAAAGTAGAAGAAAAGAAACTTTGCAAAGGTGAAAAAAGATGTTATTAATTCAAAATTAATGTCAATTTGTAGTTGCCAAAAAAATTTTATTAAATTATTGTACTTGTGTTTATATAAAAATAAAACACGTACGTAATAAAATACATACTTACTGTATTATATTGCACTTTTATCTTTTTATATTAATAATATATATATTATTTTTTAAAATATTTGTAAATAAATTTTTTATATAATTTTTATTTATATAATTTTCTTTAACATTATGTAAATATAATATTAAAAAAAAATTTATTAATATTAAAACATATGCGTTTATACTGGATAACATTCTAATAAAATAAACTCTTAAGTTTCTTGCATTATTTATGTAAAAAATGTGTCATTAATTAATAATTAATTATATATTTCACTAATTTTATTTAGTTAATATTAAAAAAGAAATGTTTTAAAAATAAAAAATCTTAAAATATATTAAATTTTAATTCAAACTGTTTTCTATTTGTTTGTCACATAATTTAGTGTTATTATTAAAAGTAGTTTTAATGCGACCCGGGCGCGCCAAGTTTTTGTACGTCGTTTTTTTTTCTTACACATCAGATTTTCTTTTATATTTTATTTTTATATAAACACACGTACAATAATTCAATAAAATGTTTTTGGCAACTACAAATTGACATTAATTTTGGATTGATAACATCTTTTTTCATCTTTGCAAAGTTTTTTTTCTACTTTATATAATTAAAAGTTTGTGCCAATTTTTAATATCATGTTTTTTGTAGAAATAATAAAACGACTTTTCAAATAAAAATGAACTACAAAATAAAATGTATTTCAATGTAAAGTTCTTTTTATTTTATTAAATTAGAAGTTGGCGCCAGTTTTTTATATCACATCTTTTAGTTGTCAATAATGAAATTTATTTTATTTTTTTATTATTAAAAAGATTTTTGTAGATAGAATTTTTGTATAAAATTCTTTCTTTTACATAAATAAGAAAAGGAGCGCATGAACTTGGGGTTATTTTTTACCTTTTTTAAAAGGTAATTTTGTTAGGATATCATTTTTTTAGTAACTAATAATCTATTATTTAACATATTTGAAACATTTTTATATCTTATATATACTAGAAGGAACATACAATTATTAATTATTTTTTTAATTAATCTTTTGTAAAATATATATATATATATATATATATATATATATATATATATGTATACATTTTTTGCTCCTGTAGGCCATTTTTTCTTGTTAATTTGCGCATCATCAATGTCTATCCACCCATTAAAAGTTTTATCTCTACATACTTGTATAATGACCATCTTCAATAGATGATTTATGATGAAAAATGGCATTCCAAAATGGCATCATTACTTTATAAAATTATCCCTCTATTGATATTATAGTTGTTGGTACTGCACGCAAATTAAATTAATCTATTTTTATTAATTTACCATTTTGTTCTGAAAATAATTATAAATATTTCGTGTCAATGTTAATTTATTTTTAAATATTGTATCTTTCCCTGTACAATTTTTACATAAGTCATAAGAGTGATACTACTCCCGAAAAAATAATATTTAATAAATCATTAAGAGCGTAACTGTTTTTCTTTAAATTAGTAATGGGAATTGAAATAAGAACATTATTATTAATAATAACAATTGTATTATCACAAGTTTTGCATCGTATAGTGAAACGTATTTGATGTTTAAGTAATTTTTTATATAATCATATTTTTTACAGATAGCTATGAGAAATTGAGCATCTTGTTTCATACAGCTGAAAAAATTACCTCTTGTCGTACTGTAAATGTATTAAAATCAGATATTCATATCGATTCATTAATATATCTAAAACATTTAATTTATCACACTCAAAAATTTGTTTCCTAATAACATTTAAATGCAAAATACATTGCAAAACTGCATTTGCGTAAGATGAAACTTTATCTTTATTTTGGAATCCATGTATTAGAAACAATATTTTTTTGAACTGTTTCATGTAATTCTTGAACAGAAGAAATAATTTTTGATCCATAAAGTATCTTTTATTTTAGTATATTTTTGTTTTGAAATAATAATCAATTTCGCTTCTGATTTATACATTTGTTTTAATCGATTATATTCAATAATTGCATCTTTACTAGCTTTTATAGAGATGAGGGATC